TTTCATCATCAAAATACGAGATTCAACACCAAGCTCCTGCCAACACCGGAGTTCCCACTAAAGCTCAGGATTCCTGTCATTGTAAGCCTCGAGCATGGGGAAGCAGAAGTTGAGCGGTATTGGTTTGTCTTGGATCTCCTGTACAAAGGGAGACCTTGTTGAGGGGGTCTCTCCGAGCTCCTCTGATTTGTAGAATTTTCTTTAGACCTCATTTAGGTGTCGATTGACTAAGTATAACTTAGCTAGAAGAGAGTCAACTGAATTGGATGACAAGGTAGCTGGCTCGAGGCAACTCGGAATGGCGCATCGGGGACCAGGAGCATTGTGCTCTAGCATCGACCTCTAGTCCTTCGAGTGCCCCTCGGTCAACGGGTTAGCACCTGCTGCTCGGGGTTGTTGGCTAACCGGAGAAGGTTCTTAAGGCATAGTAATGAGGGTCGGGTAGTCCCGTGGTAGCAGCCGTTGGGGCAACATTGCCTGTTGGGCAAACTGGGGAATGAGAGGGATGGTAGTCTATATTATTCCTGCTAGTGCTTGGACTTGCTGAGTAAGGCTGAGGAACGCCTTGACTGAGATAGTAGACTGTCTAGTGGTGGTCCTGGGAGGTGAGAGCCCAGAGTCATTGAATAGCCACCAATAGCGATTTGGGGTGAAGGTCGGAGCATTCCCTTCTAGGTTTGAAGGGGGAGTTGTCCTCCGAACCCGAAGGTCGAGTGAGCAACGGGTGGCACCTTTCCGGAACGTTTGCCCGGGTTGAATGAGCACTCTTACAACATCGACCCTCCTTCTAACTCTAAAAATATTAAAAAAATTTACTCCATGGCCAAGATGTCAGCACGACTTGGTCCGATCCCAAGTGCGCACGGTCGCCCATATGGAGGCTTGAGCTGAATAGTTCGATATTAGGTTGGGTCAAAGCTTCGTCACCCGAGTGTGGTCTTTTCCTTGGCGGGCTATTGTTTTTCTACCACGTTCCCGCACAAAGGCTTAAGCCGGGAGATGGGTTTTCCGACTTGGCCCCTTAGAAGGTCAAGTCAGTGTTGGGTGGGGTTAAGTGGAGTTGAAGTGTTCGAGTCATCCTCCTAATGCCGATCGAGGGTCGACTTTTATGCCTGCAAACAAGGATTGGTCATATGTGATCTATTAATGACGGTCGACTCCTCGGACAGTTGGCTTGTACCTCTTGAGCGAGCGCTAATTGACATGCACGGATCCGTACCGTGCGGCACCATTCTAAGCTTTTTGGAGCAGCTCGATGCTATGCTGTACTATCTCGTACGACATCGAATAGCGCGGGAGCAAACGATCGTCCTATCCAAGTTTGAGATATCATACTGACTCATCGTATCGCGTCAATCTTGACCTTCCTCATTGTTGCCACGTTGACAATACCAGAATATGTCATATCAAAATGTAAATGATTTTATAAGATCAAGACTTGATCTAATGGAGCTATTGAGTGATACAAAGCTCCGTTTGCTAAAGAACATGATACTTAACTATGAGGGAAAATTTTGTTTCAGGTGCCATATTAATTATAGTTGGAACATTTATTTCTCTTTTAGCTACACATCCCTGGATGCTTTACTAAATAAATGTCAAAAAAAACAAAAGCTTTCCTTGATAAAGACTCGTTCAAGAAGTATATTATGTAATCTTTTCTTAGTTATGATTATCCATTTGAGAAAAGTTTATCAATTATGTAAGGTATTATATGGACTTCAAAAAGCTTAGTTTGTCGAATTTACTTGTATGATGTTAGCATTTCGATCAAGTGCTTATGATAATGCTCTATTCGTTCCAAAGTTGAAAGATGGATCGAGATACCTCTATCCTTTGCTCTATCTATATATATAATATAATTATTAATGATGATGATATTAAAATACAAGATCTTAAAACTTTTGAACATGAATGATTTAATTTCATATATCTTTGCTCTCTTAGCTACATTTTGGGATAGAAATCTCATCTTCTGAAGAGATTACTATTTAAGTCAAACAAAATACAATTTTGATCTTCTTATTCAAGCCAATATCATCAAAAATAAATATACCTATTGAACGAAATGTTATATTATTCCAGATTTAACTTTTCATCGATAACTTATCAAAAGTCTCAATTATCTTGCTATCACATGCCCAAACATATCATTCAACAAGCTGTTGCAATTTAGATTTTATATTTTTATTAAATGGATAATTTTTAATGGGCTCCATGTTTCAGCTAATACATTTCAATACTCCAAGACATTACTAATATTTCATGTGTCCTTCCAAATATGCCCCCTTGGGTCTTGTAGTCGAGACGATGAGCCTCTTCATCTTCAAGTTGTCCACAGTGGTCCTTCACCACATGGTGGAGATCATCAGACTTCAAACTAGGACTTCAATGCCATGTCATGGTAACAACATTGATCGGCCTGAGCATCATATGTCGCATGTTTCTCTACCTCCAATTGCTGTTGTAGCTTTGAGAGCCTTGTCGCCATGGAGGCATTGGCTTGCCCTAACTCATCCAATTAAATCTGGAGTCAAGCAGCCTACTCATGATACCAAATTACGACTGTTTTATTTTGCAAGTCATTGCGCACCTTTGGGAGAGCCAACATTGCGATTGAAGTGTCCCAAGCACGGTCTAGGGTCGGGGTCATGAGGTGATGACCCTACAATGAACAACCACAAAAGTTATAATAGGGATAAAAGCAGCGTGTAAACAAGTGAAGAAGGCTTCGAGTGCTTACCATCATCGCATGCTTGTGTGCATCACTAAAGGGGCAATGCATTGCCACAATCAAATGATACCAAACTTTAGGACAAATGAAGTATAATTGTTTATTACCCTTAGAAAACTAAAATGTTCCATCAGCACCAATGGAACATTTAAGTCCCATGCATTCGGAATGCTGCAAGGTTTTAAACATTGCCCATACAGGTCGGTGCAGGCCAGTGTATACCATTCCGACAATCATCGACATGTTGACCATGTGATTTCATCCAGTTCGATCCGATATGAACTGTACCATAGGGAAAATCATCATAATGAAACTTACCTGGCAGTGAACAAGGCTCTACTACATGATACTTAACAGGTAAAACCATCCTAGAATTGCATTCTGGCAAAACAAGTTTAGCTCGATCCGATATGAACTGTACCGCAGGTAAAATCATCACTGGACTTACCCAGTGGTGAACAAGGCTCTACTAAATAATACTGGACTGCTGCCAACCGCCTACACTACAAAGTTCCTGTTCACTTCAATGTAGTTAAAAGGTGTTGTCAGTATAAAAACAAAATAATATTGAGACAGACAAACAACTTCTTCTAAGTTCGTCATAAAACAGAAAAATGTCTAATCAAGCATGGCAAACATAGGAGGAAGAAAAAGCAACATAACCCAGAAAAGTGAAACAAATATTTAGAAACCTCAAATTTGGACAAATAAGGTGAATAATGTTCAAGAATCATACAGTATGAAGTCATATGAAAAAAATCACACAGGAGTACCTTCTGCGCATCTGCAACATTGTCCTTCCCTATAGTATGCAAAACTATGGTAAAATGTCTACAAGAGGAGAGAAGGAAAGCTTCAAGGTTACGTGAATACGAAGGACAATGTTTCTAAAGGGGGAAAAATCATAAGCAAATGAGAAAGAATTATAACCATGGATTTGATGCAACAAACAACTTCATAAAGAACCTTACTCATGTAAACTGTGGACATTAGCAAGCTAAAGTAGCAGTTTGTTATGGAACGTTAATGTCGATGAACCATATGCATTAAAAGACACTGTTGCATGATTATGGGTGGGCAATTTTAACTGAACCAATCTTAAATTTCCCATGACAGAATAGTGATACCCAATAGTCCTTAACGATTGAGAAATAATATTGTGGTCTTCTTTATATGGATAAAGTGATTAGTAGAATATAATTACTATAAGCCATGCCAGTGATTTAAATATGCGCTCGAGTGCTCGCCTAAGCGCTCGGGTGGGGCGAGGGGCAAGGCCCAAGCGCCTCATGTGTGCACTAGGCGGCGTGCTTCAATGAGGCACCGCTTGGGCGCCCGCCCGAACGCAAGCACTGGGCACTTCGGGCAAGCGCCTAACTCTATTAGGCGAACCGAATAGGTTTAAGGTTGATTCGGTTCGTAGTTTCTTACCTCAAAACCACACTTCAAGCCTGCGCGACCCCAAGGAACTCTAGCGCTCCTGTCTCCGCCACTGACGCTTTCTATCATTGCCTTCGCTGCAGACGCAGCGGACCGAGCCTTCCTCTATTGTCAACGAACGAGTCTGACGGGCCCCATAGCTTCCTTCTGCTGTCGCATACCTCCACTATCAAGGGAGAGGACCGTAGGTTCCTCCGCCACCGACGGATGCCCTCTGGAGCTCCCGTCGCTGTCGCTATCCTCAGCTTTCGCCGTTGTTGCCGTTGCTGTCCACAGCTTCCACTATCGCTACTGCTATCTCTGTTACTGTTAACATTTTTTTCCCCCTCTAACTTTAAGTCATATATTGTTAACAATATACTAAACCGCTGTCGTTGCTATTGTTCGCAGCGCTGTTGTTATCTCCCTCTATTACTATTAACAATTTTTTTCTCCCCCCTCTAACTTTAAGTAATATACGACTAATAGTACATTTTTAATTTAATATTATATTTTAATTTAAATAATTATATTATTTATTTATATTATTTATTTGTTATATTTTAATATTTCAGATAATATCTTTTTCTCCTCTTCTAACTTAAGTAATATATTGTTAACAGTATATTTTTAATTTAATATTATATTTTTAATTTAAATAAGTATACTTTTAATTATATTATATATTTTTTATATTTTGGGATTTTAGAGTGCCTCGCTTTGCTTGGCCGAGCGCCTAGCGTTTCAGGCATTTTTGGACCTTGGCACCTATCGCTTTTTAAATCACTAAGCCATGCATTCCATGCAAGTTATTGGACCATCTTTGCAGATACCTCCATAAACACTAAAATAATCTAAAATAACTGTTGCTTCGAGTAAAACAAGAAAAGAATTTCCTTCGTCCCACAAAATAACAAAAAGAAAACAATTCCAAACTATACAAGCAAACCCCTTCCAAGGATACCAAAGGTTAAAGTGGGAGAGATTATATAAAGACCCTTGGATTGAAAAAATAATAAAATGCATTTTTCAATATGTGGACTTAGCAACCTTGTATGATAAAACTCATTCCAAATAAGTGGCATGACTACTAAAACAAACAAATGCAGGAAGGCCTATACTTAATAAGAGAAAAGATTATAGAATTTAAAAGGGTTAAGGTTCATTTTAACCCCTGTGGTTTTGGCCATAGACTACTTAAGTCCTTATGGTTTACTCGTTTCTAAAATAATCCCTATATTTTTAAAAACGTAGCATATAAGCCCCCTCCCGTCAAGTTTGAGTTAACAGACATTAGAATCTGCTTATGTGGTATGTCGACTAATAATAAACTATTAATATAATGACACGTGTAATTTAAGTTTTTTAAAAAATGATCCATTTTAATCTCTGCGATTTTAGTAATGGAGCACTTAAACCCTTATTGTTTTGTTTATGTCTAAAATAACCCCTACATTTTTAAAAACGTAGTATATAAGCCCCTCCCGTCAAGTTTGAGTTGACAAACGTTACAATCTATTTACATGGCATGGTGACTCATAATAAACCATTAATATAATGACATGTGTAATTTAAGTTTAAAAAAAAGGTCTATCTCGTCGAGGAAGAGGACGTCGCAAAGGTTGTAACAACGGACGAAGGCGGAGAGGTAGAGGTAGGAGAGATCAGAGGCGAAGGTAAGGGAGAGCTAGACTAACACGTCGTAGGCGCGACCGGTAAAAGATACAGGAGAGGACGAAGTGGGAGGCGGTGGGGACGAAGATACCCAGGAGGAGGAAGAGGAATCAAGAGACCATTGCATGCCTAGCGTCGGATCGGTTGATGCACATCCACCTAAGGCAGGATCGAAAGCTCTTGAGCTTGTCGTCAATGCAAGAGAGGCTGTGTGCATACAACGCCCTGCTAAGCAGTAGCGGTTGGGTGCTACTGCTGGTGATCGCTTTCACGATAACGCCTCCTCCCGTCATTGATGGTAGTCTCAATTTTTTTAATTGTAAGTCAGCATGCCATGTAAGCAAACTCTAACGTTTGTTAACTCAGATTTGACAAAAATGACTTATATGCTATGTTTTTGAAAACGTATACATTATTTTAGACATGAGCAAAACTATAAGGGTTTAAGTGGTCCATAACCAAAACAAAGCTAGAATGAACCTTTTTTAAACTTAAATTACATGTGTTATTATATTAATAGTTTATTATAAGTTAGCATGCCACATAAGCAGACTCTAACGTCTATTAACTCAGACATGACGGAAGAGACTTATATACTATGTTTTTAAAAATATAAGAGTTATTTTAGACATGAATAAACCACAAGGGCTTAAGTGATACATGAGCAAAACCACAAGAGCTAAAATGAACCTTAACCCAATTTAAAATGATACTAAGAAGAATGAGCTAAGACCTCCAGAAAGCACAAAAGGTTCAGTAGGACACATAGCCAGTGCAGATTTTACATTTTGTTGATGACTTATCAATATCTATAAAATGTGAACTTTATGGTAAATTGAATACTACCTACAACATCTAAGTTGCAAAACATTTTGTCTTCTTAACAAATGCTCATTGGTTGACCCGCAATATTTCTTAATCTAAAATATTAACATCATTTTTAATAGTCTTTGGTAAAAGAACAAGATTTCCACTACATAACCAAACAGAAGGATGTATAAATGTTAGCATTACTGAAACACAAAAGCATTTAGACTATTGACTAACCAAATCTGGACGAGATTCAGTAGCTCCTAACATAGGATGATGATTAGGTTGCAGCTCAACATCCCAGATAAGAACCATCATAAGAATTTTGAGAAATAAGAGAAAGCCCAATGAAAGTGAACTAAACTCAAAATGGTACCGCAACAATATATTTTCACTACATAAGGACTGTCGGCATGTGTTGCAACTATTTTGCTGTACTGAGGAAGCTCCCTAATTCTGTTGACCTGCACGTAGCCAGACATAAATGAGGACCTGATTTTCCAATTCCATATAGATCTAGCCACCTAGAACACAAATCATTGTTCCTAAATACAAAAGCTCATCAAAAAATCACCAAAGCAAGTGGGAAAATGTTGAATCCAACTGCTCCATTCATATTCAACAGAATAACCTAACATAATTTAATGTCTGAAAAGCATAGTAGCAAAACCTATGTTGCTAAAACTATTTCTTTAAGCAAGCTACATACACTATTAGAGGCATAACTGCTTTATTACACATGGCAACTGGCTATTTTTGAAAAGTAATACTGAAATACTAAATTTGGCAATCACATTCAAGATTCATTTTCACAAGATTATCATGATAAGAGTCATATCTGAAATCTTCAGATTGAATCTGGTAAACACCAATTCTAGATGTACAGTGATTCAGTGAGGAAGAGAGGGACATATAAGTGAAAGACACTGATTATTTCGTACCTCCCCTGGATGTATAATTGTTTTGTACTCCTTAACAAATGGAGAATGAGTTTCTTCATTGAACTGCAAGCATCACATCAGTTAACATTTTAGCACCACAAAAGAAAAAAAAGAAATTATTTAACTTGCAAGGCATGCAAGCATATTTCACCAGGTAGATCCGTGCAAGTGACTAGAGTAAGCAACATCACAATTTCTATTGTTTATTTGTCAGCTTTATTGAATGAATCTGGGTAGTTAAAATGGAATGTTGCATTTCATTTCAAAATGTAATCTAGAAGAATTAGTCCCAAGTTCTAACATAAATAAAAATTCTACAGCAGCCATGCAAAATGGTAGATGTTTATGTCGCCAATATAGTCTATGTAACCAAGTAACCTGAGATATATGCTCTGCGGCGGCAACTCTTGGTTTGACAATCTCACAACTATTGGTACGGAACCATCAGTCTGCAACGTTACTGTTAGGATAAAAATCGAAACTAAAAGGAGGGGTGAATTAGTGCTTCTAGGAAAACGACGTCGATCCGAAAATATCGTACGATAAAATCGTATCGAAAAGATGTTTAAACTTAAAACATTTGCAAGAGTAATAATGAGCAGGTAAAGCAGTTGCAAAATAAGTAAACAAGCAGAGAAAGTGAGGCACACCAATTTTATAGTGGTTCGGTCGTCGTGACCTACATCCACTCTCGATTCCTCCTTCGTTGAGGCTACCGGCTTCCATTAACCGATCTTCTTTCAATAGGCGAAAATGAACTACCCTTTTACACCCTTTTCTCCTTTTCACAAGTTTAGGAGATAACTTTTATAACCACTCACCCCTCTCTTAAACTTAACCCAACACTTAGAGCTTGAGAGGAATTCTCACAATATTACAACAGCGTTTTCGTTCTTTTTTGTTCTCAGTTCTTATGTTTACCGAGCAAAGATGATGGAGGTATTTATAGGCTCTAAATGGATTCAAATTTAGAGCCAAAACGGTCTCATCCCAAGTTTTCGGGATATTGGTGGTACCACCGCTTGACAGACTGATAACTGGCGGTACCACCGCCTGTCAGTCTGACACTGGACGATACCACTGCCTGTCAGTCTGACACTGGACGATACCACCGCCCAATCTAACACTGACACTAGATGGTACCATCGCCTAATCTGGCGGTACCACCGTCTAACATAGTCTGGAAGACTGTATCTGGGCGGTACCACAGCCTGACATAGTTTGGGAGACTGTGGCAGTACTATCGACAGACCCTACTATAGGTCATTGAATGAGCCAAACAATAAGCCCAATTCAGCCCTGATTCAGGCCCAATTGGCCCCTAATTGAGTTGGCATTGTTTCATCCCAAAACCGACTCAAATAGTCCTAAACTAACTCGATTTAGACACACGATTACAAGCATGAATCCTATGTTGTCCGACATGTCATTGGTTAATCCGGCGCTTCATCTGATCCTTCGGCGCTTCGTCCTCTCCTTTGGCGTATTGCCCAATCCGCATGTTGATTCCCGCAACTTCCAATCTCCTAGCGCAATGCCCGATCCTTCGGCCCGATGCCCGAACTCATAGCACGAAGTCCTTCCGACACATCGACTATTCCTCCAGCCCGACATCCAATCTTCTGACATGTTCCACTCCGGCTCAACATATGATTCTTCCTGCTTTAATCGAATTGTCTTTCCTTAATCGAAGTTAGTCCTGCGTCACTCAAACGCACATTAGATCATAACTCATCAATTGATTTCATCATCAAAATTCGAGATTCAACAGTTACAACTGATTAGATACACACTTTTGACAAAGTCTACATCAGCAAACATATAACTCAAAGAAAATCCTTCTCTATTCCACAACAGCAGAAGATATGTATCGACAACAATAAGATGATCTCATAATGTCCTCCAGTACCGTTGAAAAATGTAAGAAAAAGAATAAATGAAAGTGAAAAATAAATATGATACAAAACCTTGACGAAAAAAAATAAGTTGTTTGCACATAAGTAAAATTCAAACGCCAACTGAACATAAAAACAATGTTCTTGCTTATAGAGACAGTTAGAGAGCAATACAACACACCAAATATATTTTAAAAATATATTCAAACTAGCATATATATTATGCACTTAAATATTGAGAAAGCAAAGCACACTTTGCCACGTTACCCACCTCTCATCGCGAACTAAAGGTGTTTTTTTTTCCCTTCAAGTGACGAAACTATTTTTGCTTTGTTTCAGATAAATACACATTACAACAACATTCATAATAGCTCATTCACATGTCAAACTTCAATAGAAATGCTGCATATGAGAATCTTGACCCTTCCTGTTTGCCAAGCCCATTTCATAAGTATATATAGAGTTTTTTGTGCTTTGGTAATTACTTCAACACTTCAGCCAATTATAAATAAGAAAGTAAAATATTAGTTGCATGATAGCAACAATTTTTAACCTCATTGTGGCTATTAAAGAACTAGCCGACAGTTTAAATAATTTGGCTGGTTAACCTTATCATCCGCTTCATATGGATTGTCCACTCCTGTTGTACATATTGATTGGCACGGCTTCCAATTTAATCTGAGGGAGGGAGATAGTATTGAAAGTTACAGTGCAACAACACCTGTAGTGGCACTCATACATAGAAACATCAAATTGAATACAAAATCTATATAGTTTCAGTTTAATCAAAATCAAGTGAAGTGAAGAAAATAACAGCTTTCATAGGTCCATAAATTGCATTCTTAAACCCACAATTAGCATCTACAGTACCTAAGTTCAACCAGAGTTAGGCAATGTAAAGAAATAAACCATTTTTTAAAAAGAAATTTTTGTATACAGTCGATAAGATTTGACAATAGGTTTCTATCCCATTGGGATTTTAGAAATTCAACTTTTAGATTTTAATCTTTTCAATCATGACAATATGATGTATAGAACCAATTCTCCAAAAGATAATTTGCATTGCAGTTTGACTTCATTAGTCCCTCGGATTGTTTGTAATCTACCTTAAAGAAAATAGCAAGAGTTTAGAGAAAATAAACTCACTTCACGTGTTCTCTATGGTTAAAGCACTTATTCATGCTGTGCAATCTCTTGGTCTCATAATTATTTTGAAATGAAACGTAGAAGAGAATTAAGAAGTCAATGGTGGTATCCAACAATATATAGACCTTTACATATAAACAGGAGAATTTAGGTCTGATATCGCATGCAACACAGGTCATGCAAAAGAGACATCAACATATTTGATATTGCCAAAACCACATTATAGAGGACTTAGTTGCAAAGTTTTTGAACTGTCAATAACTAGTGAATAAGAAGTTTTAAATATTCAAAATGAAATAATTATTAGACCTAGCACAAGGCACATAAAATGAATATCAATGAGATTATGAAGGGAAATAATACAGTCAAGCAAGCCTGCTCGAACAAGAGTGAACAGAGTTCTCAATCACATAATGGGCGGCAAATATTTGTAATTATGCAGGTAGATGGATCGAGCATAGGCTTAGTGGCCATAAGCAGAATTCATTTATGCAACAGAGAAAGGATGCATTGCAATGCAGGGCAAGATAATGGTTGAAACTAAAAAATATAGGTTCACTTGCCTGCTCAGAGAGGTACAGACGCTGGCGATTCTTGTATGTTGCTTGATCAAGCTGAGGCCCCCACCTACACAGATGAGGAAGAAATGAAGACTAAAGCTACAATGAGGTGCATGAGGCAAAAAAGAGATTAGTTACTCGGTTCACCAAACCAATTTAAGCACCAGAAAGAATCCCTTACTATTCCTGGATTATCCCATTTTATTCAAAGAAGTGGAAACCCTAAGACGAAAGATGCAAAACCGTCGAACAAGTTCCTTTCGGGAAAACCCTAGTCATGATCCGCAAACCAAAGAAGGAATGAGGAAAAGAGGAAGACAAGGAAGAGGAGGAGAAGAAAGAAGAAGAGGGAGAAGTCCCATCAGGAGAGAGAGGGCCAGACGAGGTTGTGGTTGGCAAGCCAGTCGTAGAGAAGGGGGACGAGGGACTTCCACTGCGCGTACCTCACGTCCACCGTCACCTTCCCTCCTCTCTCTCTCTCTCTCTCTCTCTCGCTCATCTCCTTGTCGCGCTTCACTTCCCCTCACGCCTGTTTCGCAGGTCCGCTTTGGGCTCTCCGACCTATCCGGCCCCTTCCTGGGGAAGCCATGGCGGCCCAGTTGAAATAGGAGTCTGAATATTTAGGGCTGGTAATGGGCCGGACTTGTATCTTCCGAGGTCTGGCCTGCTACATCCGCAGTCCTAGTACATATTGTGGGTACGGACATGCATGGCGTCATACATGCTATGTGAACCGCAATCGAATTTAACTAGTACGTAAATGCATGTATGTGCATGCTACTACTGATTGACACATCTATTATCTTCCTTCCTCGAGTTATGTCTAGTGACATTAAGGAGTTTCCAATGGGGGAACATCTCTCTTCCCAAGCGTATGCGTGGTTCAATTATAGGTTTGGTGGCTGCTATTGGAATATCTCCCTCCCTCCCTCCATCCATCCATCCATCATCGTGGATGAATTTGCCTGGTGCACACAAACGAGATTCATCATCACGGGACCCTGATGAAGAAGAAACCATGTTCCAATGAACCATCCATATTTGATTTAAGCCATCCCTCGGTTCCCAAAATGTATCTGTACACTCGAGTATACATTGTTCATCACACTTGTTTGTTTGCCCATTGCATAGTCCATGGTCCACTAGTAGAGAAGACATTGATTGGCTCGCACACCCATCCAACGACTTGCTTCCCAAGGATGGCAGCGAATTCCCATTCCCACCTTCGATCGCGGTCTGGCCTTCGGTGTGCAAAAGCCTTTTGTGCTCCCAGCCATGCATGTAGCCTTTATACGGAGCTCGTCCCACCACCCACCTTAAGCGCATGCATAATAACAAAGGTTTGCAGTCTGCTGTTGAAACTCTCGCTGCAGTCCGCACGTACTATTCCCTTCACCGAACCCCGAAACAAAGTTGATGCCATCTTTTTCGATGACTCGTATAACTATTCGATTTACTGCGACTCGTCCGAAATAAGAGCTTCCTTGGGTAGCTAGCTGTGACTGGAACGAGTAATATGCAGCATTTGCAACCGTGTTACCCCTTTGTGACGTATGGTAGAAAGCAAGTCAGTGAATAGGCCGGCCGGGACTACATTTAAGCTTCTTAAAGAGATCGAGCGAGTGTTCCGTTCAAGCAGTCAGTTATGGTGTCACGTCATCGAAATGTTACTGCAGTTCCCTCGCAGTAGCAGCGATGGGAGAATTGTGCTGCCAGCAAAGCGAGTGACGAGAGAGCAGAGTCACCTTTTTCATCTCCATCAAGAGACGAGTTTCCCGAGAGAGAGAGAGAGAGAGAGAGAGAGAGAAGCAGCAGAAGGAAGGCCCAAAAACACATACACAACCTTAAACTTCCAAACCTGGTCCCATGGAGCAACAACCCAGAGTAAAAGGAGCACTTGGCGCATTGTGAAATTGTTATATTTGGTGACTTCGGCTGAGCATAAACTGCATTTGGTATACATCACTGTCTTAATTGAATCGGAGATAGCTACGGTTTTCCAAACGCTAGATCTCACACGGTCTCTCCTTGTATCCATCCCATGGGAGGAAATTGCTTGTTATGGAACAGATAGCTATTTTTGAGTGAGGAGACCGATATAAGTGACCATTTTGAAGAGCAAGCCATCCGACCAGAGGAAGTGACCGAGTGAAGCCTCGTCAAATGACAAACTAGAGAGAAGCCAATGGATGTGATGTGAACTAGTGCTCTAAAATTTGGAACCTCCAAGTGGCTGTTGTCACTGGAAAGCTCGTAGAAGGGATGTCAAGCATCTTCATTTCCTTTTTCTATAAGGACGAGGGAGATTATCACGAACATCTTCCTCAGATCTTGTAGGATGCTTTTAAGCAAGCAAATTCAGCGGCAATTAACATGGGAAATCAGTGAAGTCTGTTGTGAACAGTGGTAACTCTGCCCAGATCTCTCTCTCTCTCTCTTTAGTAATGCAGCTTGAATTTTCTGAGTTGGTTGTGAACAGTGCTAACTCTGCCCAGCATTCATGTTTTATTAAATGCCTTCTCTGAAGTCTGTTGTCGCTCTTAAATGCTTTGAAGCTTTATCAACGGAGGTTGCGTCTACTCCGAGGGGAAGAGAGTTGACACTGGCAAGGAATTTAGAGGCGGTGCTTAGTTTTGTAATCATGGTATCGAAGGAGGGAGAACTTCTCGTTAAGATCTTGATGTTTCTCAGCATCCTTGGATCAACCCAAGGTCAGATATTTTTTTCCCTCTGTTGACTACTTTTTTCTTCGTTTTCCCCCATTTAGGGAGGATTAGGTGGTTCTTCGATGGGGAATCTTTGCTGGATTTCCAATGTATAGTGTGGCCGGAATTGTTTGCTTGCTAGACACTGTATTCGTAATTGCCTGGAGTTGTAAAATCCTGTTCAGGTAACACTCGGGCACAGAGAAAGAAGATTGATTTTGATGTTGAGATGCTTTATTTTCTGCTGCCGTTTCTTATCCTATCATACCGTGCTTTCTTTTTCCTCGTTGCTTTCCTTTCCTTCGTGTCTCTCTGTCTTCTGATAAAATCCGGAGTTTTTTTTTCTTTTTTTTTTTCTGTCCTTCACAAATCGTAGCTTTTTCCTTTTTCTCTCTCTCTCTCGATCGATCGAAAGTAGTTATGAGGTGGCTGTGAACTTTGCAAAAGAATCAAGCCATTACTATAATGGCAAAAGCCACTGGTGGTTTTCTTTGTTTCTTCAAATTCATTTTCGCCTTTTCGAAGCAATCAGTTGTAGCAACGTCACTTGTGTTTACCATGGCTAAGTTCTAAATCGTTCTCGAATGGGAGCTATGAGTGTGGCTCCGTATAGAGACGAGCAACGCACTCTTGCGATTTCCGTCGAGTACCTGTAACATTTGTGTGAGTACGGCTGCAGAGATGTCTTTTGTGGAAGGAGGCAGCCAAAATTCGCCAGTGCTGATCTCTTGTTTGATGGAGCTGCAGGAAGAAGGGATGCCGTCGAGGTGAGGCACCGTCGTCTCAGGGAAGCCAGCAGCTTCTCCTCGACACCAGCAGCGGAATACGATTACATCATTGTGGGGGGAGGCACGGCGGGATGCCCCTTGGCTGCCACCCTCTCCCAAAACTACAGTGTTCTGCTGCTGGAGAGGGGTGGCTCTCCCTACGGCAATGGTAACATAACCCGCATGCAAAACTTCCACATCGGCCTGGCCGACACCTCCCCCGCCTCTCCGTCGCAGTCATTCATTTCCACCGACGGGGTGATCAACACGCGAGCCAGAGTCTTGGGTGGTGGCACTTGCATTAACGCTGGCTTCTACAGCAGGGCCAGCCCAAGGTACATGTTTCAGTCAATAATTTCATCCTAGTTTCCATCTGCCGTTGCTGCTTTTTTTTCTCGACATTGCTCAGCGGTGATCCCCTTAGCCCCTCTCTCTCTCTCTCTCTATATATATATATATATATATCATGCTAAACTTGGTAGCATTCGACTCGGCGGTTAAATGGAACAACGTCTCGAACACCCTATTCCATGTTGCCGTTTGGTGCATGTCCTTATAACTGAAGGTAACACTGTGCATCACGTAATCGCGTTCGTATAGTGTGTCAGATGCGTTGTCAAGGAGAAGCCCAGCGATAGTGCATTCAATAAGAGTGACGCTGACAATACCAACAGCCAACTAGATGAGATAAAATGTTTATTGCTCATTTCCAAGGGAAGCTTTAGTGACTGACGGTCTTTGATATCAAGTAGAAATCCATTTTTATTTTGGTGGGAATATCTATCAAGTCAAGAACAGGATGCCTCACAACACATTAAAAGAGGTTAGATCCTCCACCACCACCATAGAGGGAATAAATATACTCATGTTGACTCCTACCATGTTTTCCCCTCTCTGAACCGATGGTGTTCGCTGCAAATTGAAGAGATCAGAGCATCCATCATTCCTCATATAATACTAGTTAGTCTTCTGTCCCGCCGCAAGTTCCATAATTCCTCCCAACATGACCTGCCTCTGCTTCGTTCATCTAATTCCCCGTGCTTTTCTCCTAAAGCAAATTGCCCTCCTTCTCTTTTCTCTTTGCTTTTTTGCATTATCTTTCGGGATCTCCATTTAGCAACACCAAGCAACGTGAATTTGGTGAGACCAATGCACGATTTAGTGGAGTTGGTGGAGGTTGGTTCTCTTAGGAGTAAAACTTTGTCCTCTCGATCGGCTTCCTGCTTTAATTTGCTGCAATGTTGGATGACCGCAATCGGTCCTATTAAATGTCGTCTCTTATCTCCATCCCAAACCTCGGAGCTTGGTCCCCTCGATTCCCAGAACACCTTTCGGACAGAGTGAAACCGTCGGACTAAACCTTATCGTAAGCACTGCGTGTCGATCCCAGACCGAGGCCGGGCGTCGAATGTGGGATAGTCTTCCTAATCGCTTGCTGCTACCTGTTCTCCAGCTTCGTGAAGGCGGCTGGCTGGGACGAGGAGCTGGTGAACGAATCGTACCCTTGGGTAGAACGAAGGATCGTTTACTGGCCGGACGTCGCGCCTTGGCAGGCTGCACTGCGGGATGGACTGGTCGAGGCCGGCTTCTCGCCGTTCAATGGATACACCTACGACCACATCTACGGCACCAAGATCGGCGGCACCATCTTCGACAAGGATGGCTTCCGCCACACCGCCGCAGATCTTCTCGCCGCTGGAAACCCAGAGAACCTCAGGGTGCTGCTTCATGCTACTGTGCAGAAGATCGTCTTCGACACCAAAGGTAAAGGTTCCAAACACCGGAAGATGATGTTTCAGTCAAAACCACTACAGCCTTACTATGATAGTAATCGACCAAAACAGGGCGGCGGCCCAAGGCAGCGGGCGTCCGATTTAAGGATGAGAACGGCAAGCTACACCGGGCGCTTCTCAAGAATGCGAGGCACAGCGAAGTGATCTTGTCATCGGGTGCCATTGGCAGTCCTCAGCTGCTGCTTCTGAGCGGGATCGGGCACAAGAAACACCTCAAGAAGCTGGACGTTCGGCTCGTCCTGCATAACCCACACGTCGGAAAGGGCATGTCGGACAACCCCTTGAACTCCATATTCATGCCCACCAGGAAGCCCGTGCGGCAGTCCCTCATCCAGACCGTTGGGATCACCAAGAAAGGCGTGTTCATCGAGGCCAGCAGCGGCTTCGGCCAGTCATCCGACAGCATCCGATGCCACCACGGCATAATGTCAGCCGAGGTGCAGCACTGCCCGTTGCTGGCTTCGACCACCTCTTGCTTTCGATGATTTGTCTCCCAAATTGAGTTAGTCATCGACTTTGTGCGGACTCGTGCAGATCGGGCAACTGTCCACCATACCCCCCAAGCAGCGTAGCCTTGAAGCCGCCAAGAGGTACGCCAGAGACAAGCAGAATCTGCCACGGGAGGCATTCCAGGGGGGCTTCATCCTAGAAAAGATCGACGGGCCGCTCTCCAGAGGTCGTCTCAGACTCAACGACACCGACGTCGACAACAACCCCTCCGTCACTTTCAACTATTTCAGCCACCCATACGACCTCAAGCGATGCGTGTACGGGATCAGAAGCATCGAGGAAATCGTGCGCACCAAGCGCTTCGCCCGCCTCACCGTCGACGACGCCTACACGATGCGAATGCTGCTGAACATGAGCGTGCAGGCGAACGTGAACTTGATACCCAAGCACACCAACGACACTGCATCCGTGGAGCAGTTCTGCAGGGACAGCGTGACCACCATATGGCACTACCACGGGGGTTGCCATGTCGGGAAGGTGGTGGACGGCGAGTACCGAGTTCTCGGTGTGTCCAGGCTCAGAGTGGTCGATGGTTCCACTTTTGACCGATCCCCCGGAACCAATCCTCAGGCAACCGTAATGATGATGGGAAGGTAAGGTTTATCGTACCGGAATTTCTGGTAGATGTTAGAGAATCCAGATGGACCGTTTATAGATTTCCCATCTTGTGAAACTGTTGTGTCATTCTAAATCTGCAGATACATGGGAGCGAAGATACTGAGGAAGAGACTGGGAAGAGCAGCAGGAGCGTAGCTGTCGGCGTGTCACGGATGAACGTCCATGTAGCGGTTCGTTACGAAAGAACAAAGTCTAATTCATTAACGCCGGGATTCGCCCGGAAGTTTTGAAAGAGGAAAGAAAGAATCAGAAAGATATGGAATAAGTTGGTGGTATTCACATGTTTCTCTGCGTCTGCAAATTACAAGCGTTGTTGGTTACATCGTACTCTTTGAAGTAATCCACTTTTTCTGTGGATTTATGTCATGATTTGCTGATCGACAACGATGATTCGTTTTTGTTCGTTATTGATGATAGATTCCAGCGCACTAATAGTAAGTGATTACACGATTCAATTCTTGAGGCTTTGTCAGAGATGGGTCGAGCCCGGATGAAAAGGCTTACGATCTCCGGAGGAATGCGTTTCTTCATGCACTCGCAGAAGCAGTACTGGCCAGCCTCGCACCCCTCCACAAACGACAGAAACAGTAATGTGGACAGGAAGACCGTCACAGTCACCTTCTGACGGTCCGTTCTTCTCTTCTTTTTCTCCGGGGTGGTAAGCCTGAGCACACCACCCACGGAGGAGCGAAGCTGGTCGAAACAGCAACATGTGTTTTGCCATAATAGAGAGGCAGAGCTGTCCCGCCAGTCGCAGTGGCAGGGCCGGAAGAAGATTGCAACAATAAATGTGACGTCCCAACTATAAATTTGAGGTCCACAACATGATCGAGTTCTCATCGTTTCTCTCTTCCTCGTCGGTTTCTGAATTCAAATTTTCACGAATTTTTTATGATTAAAGTCATAAGGAAGAGCAGCAATCCTTAAAAAGATACCGAAGCGTAGGTGGAGGCCCAACAACGATTGCACATATACGCAACAAAATTGTGCTCCTAGGATTTCTAATTGGGTTACCCTTCACCCGAACTGCAACCCCAATTACGTAGTGGTTTCAACTTGCATCCCTCCTCTCCTCCTGCTATGTCTCTGATATTTCTCTGTGTTTGGAACTGAGGGGGTGACAGGTCAACACCCAGGCTTAGTTCAATTTGGCACGTATTGTTAGTTAGTTAGTTGACTACTTAATTTCCATTAAGCTGGACCGAATTAGTGATCTACTCGATCGCCGTCGTTACAAGCACGAGCTCAAGAACTTGCTTCTTATTCATTGTGCTGCTACGGTCGCGCAGGAGTCCAGAACAGGCTACGAATGGGACCGGTGTGCATGCATGATGCATGATGCATGCTGCTGAGATCGCTTAAATCCTCTTTGGTTTACGAGAGGGGAGACGACTGGTTCATGTCCGACTCAAAAGAAAATATTATCTTCTTGGGCTGCTAGATTACATTTTCGAAGATGAGCACGTACCAAAGCGAGATGAATGAGCGCATGCAACCCAGAGGAGGGAGCAAAAGAAAAAGGTCCAAAAGCACAACAAACACAACGATGTAGATTAACCATTTAATGACCAATAAGATCTTCAAGATCCCATCCTGACCTTTTTTCTATCTCCCCTTTCTTTAAGACAAATTTCTCTCATCCAAAAAGGTCCATCTTTTCGTCGTTGGAAGCAAGCGTCAATAGTACTCACCTTCGAAAAGGTTTTTGTTCGCTGCTGCTGATCGTCCAGCTCCCTAAATTAATATAGTGTGTACCCTTTCTGTCACAAGTGACACGCACCGGAAATACTTTCAGGTAACGTACGTACGCCTTTCCCGCGAAACGTACGATGCAGCGGTAGAACCAATGAAGTCATTGGGGGTTGACCGTTCGTTTGCAGTGAGCGTTGAATGTTGGCGACAGTGATTGGTCCAAACTTGATTTTAGGTCTCGACTAAAAGATTTCGTTTGTCAGCGGCGCTGCATTCTTCTTCGTATTTGAACGAAGAGATTTGGTCCTTGTTCCTTGTCTGCTGCTGCTGCTTCTTTATCCATCTTCCTCTGCTGTCTCACGGACGAAGCAGCGGTGGAGCTTCCTCTCACCGCAGAATGTTGATCTGCGGCTGGTTGGGTTTTTATTCGTTTCCCATGCAGGATATGTTCTCCAAATAAGTACGTGATGGACTTGTTCTCGGTGCGGATCCGTCGACAAATTCCAAAGGGACGACAGTCGTAGTCATTACATGCTTGCACGAGCTCTGCTTTTCGTGCATACAGATTTGCGTGTTCAGCGGACGACCTTATTAGGAGGATTGGAAATGAGAAATTTGACCGTGTCTCCCACCTGCTCCCTTCCGTCTTCTCAATCGTCACTTTGATTTGGTCCATATCAACTTTATTACATTCATCCGAGTCGAGTAAGGAATGGATGTAAACAACATTGATTTGGTTCGTTTATACAAACGGGTGAAAAGAAAGAAAGACTCGAATGAAGTGGATCACTAACTATAAAGGGATGTTCACGATATTTGCTCTTCCTAGGAGCGTCCATGTCCAAGAGTTATCAGAATACGTATTATATCATGAGAAGTCATGATTGTAACGTGTTTTACCTTTGACTTGGTCTGAACATGAGACCATATCAATCGATTGGGCAACAATTTTGCCAGCCGCTTGGCAGCTGTTTTCATTTGAACAACTTTATTTGATGGATCCATACTACCTCGAGTCCGATTCGTGTCTTAGTTTGATCTCACTTTTGTTTCCTTTTTCTTCCCAAAAGTGAGAGTATTCTTACGCCATGTCAGCTATGCCTCGGTACCAAGTCATCGAGTGTACACATTATATATTCTTCCTCGATTCTTATACCATAATTTTAATTCAGTTGATGATATATGAGTCGTAGTACTGTGAATCAAGAGGAGCCATTAATGCTGGAGGCCATGGCCTATGTGATGCTGTAGAGTTACATGCCACTGGGCACGGTGATGTGGCTCGGGTCTACAATATTTTCGCTGCCCCTTGACTTGTCAACATCCTTCCTCTGGAGTCCATGGCGGAGGCAAACGTTTGAACATTTCTCAAGTGTCTCTGTTCCACGAAACAAATCCACGCTTGTCAGCCGTCTTTTTCCTTCGTTCTCAAAGTTGAGTCCCCACCCGTTTTGACTTCCACGACACCGCGGCCAGGATGTTTGACGGCTACAAAAGACTGCTACCGCAATTGCAGCTCAACCATCTTAGTTTGGTTGGATCGTGTGCCTTTATAAATTCAGAGGAGGAAGAGGTCAGAGATCGTGCAACACCCTTCTCTCGCTCTCGTCTCCTCGACGATCAGCGGCTCGTCTCTCTTCTTCATCTTCTGATCTCCCGCTTACAGCGACCTGAGGTCGTTCTTCTGCCTGTTTTGCATCTCTTGCTAGTTTTGCTTTGATGTTCCGTTTCTTTACTTGTCTGTTTTCTGTTTCTGGGTGGGGATTGTGGGTTTACACTTTCACATGCTCCATCAGTTGTACAATCAATGAGAGCCCCGTATGGTTGCCGTTTCAAAAGTCTGGAAATGATTTCTGTAAGCCACAAACGAACCTAAGAATACTTTTTATAACCCTTTCGATTTAGCTAGCATGGATAGAGAGTGATTCCTGAAGCAACATGCAACTCGAAAGAGTTCCGGCCCGGGGATCACTCTTCACATGAAATCTCGCGACCGAGACTTTTTACCTCTCAAATTAATTCTCATACCCCTCTAGGTTTGAAACTTGTCAGATGGGCAATATTTCCAATGTTTAGCAAAACCCTTTTATGTTTCTTCTACCCCGTTAAGGTTATGTTGAAAAGTAGCCCCGCATTTATGTTCTCCTTTTATCGTCTGATAAGAGCAGTATTATTATATATTTACGTGGAATTACTATGTTCTCCTCGGCTATCGAGTTTTGCAACTTATAGTTGTGATTTGTGGTATGTTTTGACAGTCGAGATTCCATGGGTTTATCCCTCTCCTTGCTCTCGTGGGCTTGGATCCGATGCCTGTGGACAAGAACACTTGGTTCCACGGAAACAAAAGATGTTCTAGCAAGATCCATCAGCTTCGGTGCAAAAGACATCAAGATGGCCTTGAGGTCACTCAGTTTCAAACCAAGTGATGCATCCAACGAGGCGGTTTCTAGTGTATCCGATAGCACCGTCACGGACGTGACCGAGCTGGAATCCAAATTTGCATTCGAGAATGGAGTCACAGATGAGACGAAAGCGGAACTAGCTTTCCGTTGTAAGAGCTCGATGAAACTCGCGCTCCCTGATCCGAAGCTCCCACACCGCCTTCCCCAGTTTTCTTCACCTAGACCTTCGAACGAACTTGATGCGGCAGCCACCAAGCTGCAGAACGTCTACAAGAGTTACCGAACCAGAAGAAATCTAGCAGACTGCGCCGTCGTGGTCGAGGAGCTCTGGTTCGTCGTCTCCGACTCTGCTGCACAAACTTAAATCTATGTAACGACGATCATAGTCTGATATCCGTCCTTTGATTTAGGTGGAAGGCATTAGATTTTGCTTCTCTGGAGCATAGCTCTATGTCATTCTTCAAAGTTGAAAAACCAGAGACGGCGGTTTCGAGATGGGCAAGGGCTCGGACCAGAGCAGCCAAGGTAATGAATGCCATTTATCTTGCGCATCTGTTTTGGGCTCTGCAGTCTGCCTCGTTTTTGTTCCACCAATCTGATCTATGCGTTCGTCATTCTCAGGTTGGCAAGGGTTTGTCCAAAGACGAAAAGGCCCAGAAGCTAGCACTACAACACTGGCTGGAAGCGGTAAGATTCCTTCTCCGTATCATTGTTTAGGAAGGGGTTTGCGCAGCCCGGAGTAGAGAGGATAGGAGGAAATCAAGTAATTTGTCTTGCGCTGTGAATCTTTCGAACACTAAACATATCGACCGTGCAGATCGACCCCCGTCATCGGTACGGCCACAATTTGCATTGCTATTATGATGTGTGGTTCGAGAGCGAGAGCACCCAACCATTCTTTTACTGGTACATATATGCCTAGCATACATGGCTTCTCATGCGGAAGCAGATGCAACTCTCGGTGCTGACCTCTCTCTCTCTCATTGTTTTTGGCACACATGAAGGTTGGATGTCGGCGATGGACGGGAAATAAATCTCGAAAAGTACCCAAGAAGCCATCTTCAGAACCAGCGCATCCAATATCTTGGACCGGTATGAATTAAGTTTATCCCGTCACCACCTCTGATGATATGAGCTAAATATATCACCAATCAGAAACCAAGTCTTTGTCGTGTGCAGAAAGAGAGGGAAGCATATGAAGTCATGGTCAAGGATGGAAAGCTTGTCTACAAAGTGAGCGGAATGCCTGTTAGTACAACGGAAGGTTCCAAGTGGATATTTGTCCTCAGCACATCGAGAGTATTGTACGTGGGACAGGTAACGGTGAACATCCATCTTATATCAGAACTCAAGCAAAGAAAACATATCTGCTTCGCCCCAAGTTTTGGTGTTCAACTAGGCTGGTCTGTTTGAGGATTCGACTTGTCTGATACCAACATATGTATGTTCTTCCATGAGCAGAAAAAGAAAGGCGCGTTCCAGCATTCGAGTTTTCTAGCTGGGGGAGCGACAACAGCTGCCGGAAGATTGGTTGCTACGCAAGGGGTACTCCAGGTACTTATTTTACACCTAACCGGATGCGAATTCCTGGAAAACGAAGTTGCAACGATCACAAGAATCTGTATGTTTAGTTGATGGAGTTATTAGGCATTCTGATGAAACCTTGTTTTTCGTTTTCCCTTTGCTGCTATTCTTCAGGCGATATGGCCATACAGCGGTCATTACCTCCCAACCGAGGATAATTTCAAGGAATTTATCACCTTCCTTGAGAACAACGATGTAGACCTCAGCAATGTCAAGGTAAATATTAATCTTGCAAACACTCCTAGCAGATATTACAATATTTCATCACGTCCGTTCTATTTTAGCCACCGGAAACCTGAATTTTATAAGCAGTAGCTGTTATACGAGTGGTAAAGAGAAATATCAACCGCACTTGCAAGATGAATTTGGTTCCTGTTGAGATCGATCGACATTTTGGCAGTTCTTGACTAGGTAAAATCTTGCTAACGGGACAAATATGACTCTTCGATCGCAGAGGTGTTCCGTCGACGATGATGACTACCCCTCCTTGGAGAAACGGAACGATGAGATAGAAGCTGACGCTAACAAGGCTGATGCATTAGCAGTTTCCACTACAGTCGAGGTCACGGAAGCTACGGAACCTTCGGAGGACCCCAGGCCAGACGAAACCATGGAAAACAGAGTGGACGAGGTGGTGGCGTCGGAGTTTGACAAACGCATATCATGTAGATGGACTACAGCTGCCGGGGCTCGCATCGGGTGCGTTCGGGATTACCCACCTGATCTCCGATCCAAGGCACTCGAGCAAGCGAACCTCTCACCGAGAGTTACTCCGTCACCCAGCGGAAGCAGAGTCCCCATCCCGTCTCCACGACCAAGCCCCAGGGTCAGGCTGTCCCCTAGGCTTCAGTACATGGGCATTCCGACCCCCACCGTCGCCCTCACACTACCTAAGCACGTAAGGAGATGATGTGATGACGGCTCTACCAACCACGAAATAGAAACCGGCCGTGATCTCCTGGCCGAAACTGACTTGTGGCACACGAAGCCAGACAATTCTTTTTTTCTTTTACCCTAGATTTTGTCTTTTGACTGTGGCTAAGGATTTGATCGATCGACGAACCAACTTTTCGAGGTGATTTCGTTTTCTTTTTTTTTTCTTCCAATTTATTCGTTGGAAGTATTGTTCGATTGTGCACAACATTTACTTCTTTTCTTCGATTGGGATACTGTGCGTAGTCAGTCGGATTATTATTATTTTTTCCCAAAAGGAATGTAATTTACACAATTTTATTTTATTGAACGATGGGGGACTCCTTTTTATTTTTAGAGTCAACTGAATGAATCGATTTATGTGGCCTGCAAATTGATAATAACATCTCATAACTTAACATGAAATTAATATTTTGTTTCACAAAAAGAATAATACGAAAACCACATATCATTATGCTTATAGGACTAAAGATTAAGGTTCATATTGAAAGAAAAGTAGGTCGACGTGCATGCATGTTGCAGCCGGAATCTGACCTTGCTTCCAACATACATGGACGAGGAAGAACGAGGGATTTACTAGAGCCATGATTGCCGGATGCAAGCTGCCGGCGGCATATCAGATTTACATATTGCAGCTAGAAATCGACCGATCCCTACCCAAGACGATTGATTGTCGCACGAGATCGACTCGGGAAGCTTCAGCTGAACTGAACGATCTCCTTGATTTGCCTCCCGAAGGCCGCAAGGTTCAGCGTGACCGGAATATTATCCAAGTAGACGTCGAAGAAGTGCTGCCAGAGGCCAGTATCCTCCTCGTAGTAGTACTCGGTCTCCATGATGGTTGTTAGTGTAAACAACTTTATGCCGTGGCCTCGGGGCCGACGCGGCTTGGTCGGGGTCCGAATGACGGGGATCTGGTACGGCGTCCCTCGAGATTGCCCAGGTGGCTGATTAAGGTGATCCGGTCGGGACGTTGTGTCGAGAGGAAAGCTTTTCCGCAGCGCCGGGAAGAAGCAACCCCGTCCTTGCACCTGCACACAGGTCAGGTCGGAAGCTCGGCCCGACCCCTCCGACGATCAAGTTAGTGAGATGTGGAAGGGGTTTCAGGTGAAGAAGTGCTCTCTCCTTTCTTTTTTTGTCCCCCCTTCGTTTAGAACTCGGGGGTATTTATAGGTAAGTTTAGTGTTACCTGATGTGCCTGTCCGCAGGAGCAGGATCGTACCTCTGATGGCGTCTGACATTGCCGTGGGCGTTGCATGGAGAACCGAACTACCGCAGGGCATGGGCGAGCCTCGGTCGCCGTTCTCCTATGCCTTGGCCAAGCATGTTGGGTCAGACAGCGATGAAGTCGTTGTTTGAGAGCGGGTGATGTCAGTGCACATTGCGTCGGCATTATTGCCCTCTTTGGGGCAGAGTGTCGTCCAGGCGTGGCTGACGTCGTGGTGTGTCATGTCGCCATTATTACCCTCATCAATGGTGACCTTGATAGTAGGATGCACGTCCACGGCAGACGCCTTCTCGGCGACAGTGGCCTTAACAACAGCAGGGAGCATGTCCATCTCGTCGGTCGTTATGACGAAGAGGATACCCTCGCAAGGGCGAAGCTTTGTTTTTCTCAGCGGCATTGGTCGTTGGCCAAAGGCAAGAGTTAAGCTTCGCTTTTTTCATTGCTACGATACCACGATGAAAAAAAAATAATAATAATTATTAAAAAAATATTAAAAAAATAAAAAAAAATTAAATACATTAATATGTTCGTCTCCTATTTATAAATTAGAAGGCAGAGTAATTCTATTCCGCTAGGATTCGGAGGAGATGTTAAGATGATTGAATTGGGGGAATCCTCCTCTGCTTGGGACTAGCGGAGGATCTCTCGACTCCGCAGCGGCCAACCATCGTTGCCAACAGAGTCGCGAACACGGAGTGTCGTCCGTCGTCCTTGCCTTTCCGTTGATTGGCTACTCACGGAGCCCACGTGGGACCGTATGGCTGCGTCCAATCATCCAATACGTAGTCAATACAGATGTTAACAGTCAGCCGATTAAGTCGTTCGACCCGGTCGTAACGACGATAAACCAAACCGAGTGAACTCCCTCCGCTCCTCCGCTCGCAACAGTGTCTTTCGAATTGCGGCAACTCTTCCAACCGCTGCAAACACGTCGCTCGACACTACCGTCTGTCCCTCCAAAACTGCTCCTTTCCGTCCCCAGAGTTGCGGTCGGTAATAGAAACAGAGGCTTTCCTCTGTTCGCACCTGCAATTCGATCGATGGGTGGTGGTTCCGGGAAGTGGAGGATAAACTCCCTCATTGGCCTCGGAAAGCAGGACAAGTTGGACCAGGTAAGCGATCCCGCCCGTTCCTTTCTCAAAGAAGCGATCTTGATTTGTTTTCAGTGAGTTGTTGTGACTCTGCTGTTGGGGTCCTCCGAGGAGAAGGCGGAAGAAGGCTGTAGTGAGAGCGGAAGCCGGAGGTGGAAGTTCTGGAAGAAGTCCTCCCAGCCGGGAGCCAGCGAGAGTCACCGGTCGGCTTCGGAGGTGGTGGAGGAGGAGGAGGTGGCGGCTCTATATGCTTCTACGAGCGTTTGCTCTCCGCATAATGATTTCAAGGTCGTGAGGCAGGCGTTTGCGGCTATTAGAATACAGGCAGCTTTCCGCGGATGCTTGGTATTTGATCTCTCTCTCTCTCTCTCTCTCTCTCTCTCTCTCTCTCTCTCTCGTTACTCTTCTATTTCTCTATCTTTATGCTGCCTTACGTACAGACACTAACGATGATATCAATTTTGTTACGGGCAGTCTACTAGTCCCTCATGGAATACAGTTTATTGATGGAGATTCATCTTTGGTGTCTTTCTACGTCCAATCTACTTCCCTTTTGTATAAGCCAAAATCTTCCTTATCTTGACTAATTAGTTTGCTTCTTCCCTTTTGCATACTTCTTCTTCTTTTTCTTCTCTCTCTCTCTCTCTCTCTGTGATGTTGAACGGCTTCGTGTCGAGATTTTTGTCATCTCTGCGTGGAGCCTTTGGTGTGTTTGTGTGAATACGCGACTCTGGATTTCCAATATGAGATGTTGGATATTGGTAGGCCAGAAGAGCCTTGAGCGCTTTGAAAGGGATCGTCAGGCTTCAAGCTCTGGTGCGAGGCCGGCGGGTGAGGAAGCAGGCAGCAGCGGCGGCGACGCTAGAGTGCATGCAGGCACGGGCCCAGGCCGCGCAGCGTAGGATCGACAATTGCCGGAGCAAAGTGGCTGTCTTAAAGGAGGCGGAGGTACGTACGTATAAGCTAACCTCTCATGTTGCTTCACCACCACTCTTCCAAGTCATATCGCCGTCGTTCCCCTACGAGCGCGGTGTGCTGTCTTAGTTATGTATATACTAATTAGGGCCAACTCCATCAGCATTGCTTCTCAACTCCTCTTTCGTTTTTGGGCTGGCAGGATGGTTGGTGTGACAGTCCGGGAACACTGGAAGAGATCAAAGCGAAACTACAGATGCGGAGAGATGGAGCCATGAAGAGAGAGCGGGCCATCGCTTACTCACTGTGCAAAAAGGTACAACAAGTCCACAACGCACGCCTTCTCTGTTATCCATATTCCTTGTTAACCCTCTAATTGAATCTTCGGACACCTCCTTTCAGCAGTGGAGGCCAAATGATCTGAACAAGTGTTCTAAACCACCTGTGCTTTGCTTCGATGATCACGAAACTTTTCATTGGAGGAGGTCACGGCATTGGATGGCAACAACAGCGAAACCTTGGGAAAACAGGTTTATGGAACAGATTCAGATCGAACCATTTGAGATTGAGAATTATGGGGGATCTGATTGTACAAACCATGTGGATCCACGCGTAGTAAAAGCTAAAAGGAACGACGTCGCCACAAGACCATCTGCAAACCATGCGTCTGTGCTCAGGGAGAAAGGCCGCAGAGTTCAGATTGATTCCTCCTTGGAATTCCAATGCGATGAGAGCTCTTCGTCCTCTTCTTCTTCGGTTTGTACGCCGACTCCAGCATCTACTTTTCTGCTATTAACGCCACAGAGAACTGAGCAGAGCAATATTAAGGCCAAGCAGAAAGCCTGCAATAACGGAAGAACAACAATTGAGAGGCGGATGTCATCAGGCCACGTTCAGTATTTTGGTAGCAGCGACTCCAACAAAAATGCTGCCACAGATTCTTCAATTTCGACGTCATGGAGGAGTAAGAGCTGGAAGAGAAGCATAGACGAGGAGAACTACTATAGCAATGAGAAATAACCTTGGACTCACTCTGCTCCCGTGAATCCTTCGTTAATCCATGAATTGTAAAGTCTCCGAGTTTTCAGAACCAACATCTTCTTGTCATTTGTTATATAATGTGCGAGTAATTTTTCATTATCTACTGTTACACACAATATATATATATATATATATATATCTCATTCTAGAAATGTTCACTTGATTAACGTAGTGTTTCTTGGGAATACACGTATATTGAAATTATAAATGGATATATCCTTTTGCCCACTCAAGCTTTTAGATGATAATAAAAAATATATTAGCGATCAATCATCATCCGACATCAATCGCCACAAGGAGATTGGTATGAAAAGTAAAGGTCACAGTCACTCTCTACTTGTCTGCCCTCGTGGATAACAATTCAAGGGTGGCGGTTCAGGCCTATCTCTCCCATGTCATCCATGTGGATATCATCTCTATAGACCATGTATAAAAACTAATCCTCGACGTTGTGCCGAGGGACTCTCTTTTCAAGAAAAACTCATAACCTAAAAAGGATCTTGAACTAACTTTAACGTCGAAAGGATCAGATCAAGAAACTTCTCTCGACATTGGTGTTAATGTAGGCGACGTCTCGAAGGCTCGACCCCCCACCTTAGAACCACCTTAGCACCATATCAGAGCCACTTAGAATACTCCTGGGCCTTCGGGTATGAACAACGTTGAGTTGACTCAGATGTCGAAGATGATTTTCCTAAACATTTTGGTGCTAGAATGAGGGCTTAATGTCATAGGGACATCTATCTATCAATCCTCTCAAGGAACGCTCCAACGAGGAGGCCCTACCTCTAACCCATAATACTTTTATTCAGGGGGGACAATTGCCCTCCTCACATGTGGATGCATCCATTTCATCACAAACGCTAATGAGATACTAGCGATTGTTTAATGTCCTAGGTCTCACACCCCTGAAGATGAATTCAAGCCACTTGCTCATTCTCATCGAGATGTTTTTGAATCTCACTTATCAAGTACAAATGCTCACGAGCATGATGTAGGCTATCACCTTGCTCTTGCCATAGCTAGCCCAATAAATGGTGCCACTATCTCAACCACGATCAATACCTCAACCACCACTAGCATCGACACCTTTTGGAATCTCCTCGACTGACGTGATGCCAACATCTCAGAATCGCCCAAGGTTTATAGAACTGCCAGCCGAAGGAGCACCCCACTCCCCAACCGTGGAGTTCAGTGCACCACCACACTATCGCTCTACTCTTCCTGAATTTGAAACCCGATTAGTATATTTAATGGATGACTCCTTGAGGGCCTAATTGCAGCAAATGAGCCAACACGTAGACGAGATGTAATAGGAGTTCCAATAATCTTAGGAGGAGAATCCGATCGATCCTTCCTCGTGGCAATACCCATTTACCTAGAACATCCAAGAGGAACCAATCTTGACCAAATTTTGCCTCCTATCACTATAAGCCTTTGATGATACTATCGACTTAGTTGAACACATTATTACCTTCCATGCCCAGATGTCTCTCTATAGCACCTTGAACCCTTTAATATGTCACACGTTTTCGACAATGTTGAGAGGCTCAGTGCGAGAGTGGTGCTAGTTATAGGTGTCATATAAGCCAATCACATGAGTGATGACACGTGTGATATGACAAGCACTATTTTTGCTTATTATTATTATGATATTTTCTCAATTTATATTGCTTATTGTATAAATATATTGTGATATTCATTAATCTATGCAATGAGAATAGGATCATGATGAGATTATGATAATGAGATTGATTCACCTTTAAACATATATCCTAAATAATCATGATCATAGGTTACTCGAGAGGGACATCGAGATAACCAGATAGACTGGTATATTGTATACCCATTAATATGATGGAGGCGGCTGGTCTCATAGCTACTTGTGTGGAGATACTAGGGCTACAATGCATGTGCTCATCGGAGAATGAGTTCACTGATTGATCCGCTCATTAAATGTTGGATGGTTGATGATACCTCATTGTTAGACAATAATTTCGTCATCCTAGTGGTGTACCTGGTCCTTAAATTTGAGACACCAAGGATGAAATGTATGAGTACTCTACTCTTTGATACTAGATTTATAGGTTTGAAAGTTCTAGATCTAGTATAGTCAATCATCGAGAGCAATAGCCAATCTTACGAAGGCTATTGAGTGTCGATAAAGGATCATCCACTCTCAATATCATGAAAGAAATATATCATGTGTTATTGCTCAAACAAATCCTTGGCCAAGGTCATTCGGATTAAGAGAGAAAGAGTTCTTCGGGAGAATCTGATTAGAGTGAGACTCGAGAAGAAACTATATGTGCCTGATAACACCATGCCTCGTGTACGATCTTTAAGATATTAGATGAATGAGGGACTACAAGTATATGATAATTGAGGACAGATAGGTCCAAAGGATTGGATTCCCCTATATCGTTTGATGATTGCAGCGTAGTGACTTAGTATGTTCGTAGTCGATGAGTCGAGTGAATTATTATTGAGATAATAATTTATTGAGCTAGAAGGAGTTCTGATAGGTATGACTCACGACCAGCTCGATATTAGGCCTAAAGGGTCATACACATATGGTAGGTATTGCGGCGAGTAAAGGTTCGAATATGAGATATCTGTCAAAGCTCTTATCTTATTGGATATCCAATAAGCTCATGAATTATTGGATCCTATGAATGAGATCCAATAAGAGCCAATGAGAGATTATTGAATAGAGATCTACTAATCTAAGAGGCTTGCGTAGTTGGATGGAGATCCGATACATAATAAAACAAGATCTATTAGAGTTAAGTTAACAGGGGCCTCTATAAATAGGAGAGAACCAAAGAGTCATATGCTAGGCTTCTTGGTCGCCACATCCTATTCTCCTCTCCCCTTCTTCTCCTCGGATAGCAGGTGTAGAGATTTGAATAACGATTCGAGGAGATTCTTCGTAGCCTCTACTATGTGGATCACCGCTAGAGAGGAGGACGTGTAATCTCCTTCATCATCTCCCACAGATCTATAGAAATTCAGGGATATACGATCTTCCTAGGTAACATAACTATCATACACGTGGTTTTCAGTTTTGCGAGTTTTTGCACATCAATTTTCGCACGACGATGAACACATTTTGAAAAATTTAGGAATTTTGTTTTATGTTCTTCAATTATACATATGATATCGCCCATAGATTTCCCTACGAAATTAGCATGGCGAAAGAAGAACTTCAAAATCCGCCACAACGAAGGAAGGACTTTGAAATCCATCAAAATGGAAAGAGGACCCAAAATCTACCACGATGGATAAAGAACTTTGAAATCCACTACAATGGAGAAAGGACTTCAAAATCTATCACACTAGAGGAAGAACTTGAAAATCCACTACGATGAAGAATCTGAAATCTGTCACGACAAAAAGAGGTATCAAAATTCATCACAATGGAGGAAGGATTTGGAAATCTAACATGGTAAAGGGAGGTCTCGAAGGTCGCCATAACAAAGGGATATGACCAAATATGCATGAGGTATGTGAGTTGGGAAACCTAAACTGCGCCAGGATAAACTCGCTACGATGGAGGCACAATGTCAAATATGCTCGAGGCATGTGAATCAGGAAACTTGACCCATGTCAGGATAAACTAGTTATGGTGGAGGCATAAGCTAAATATGTCCAAGGTGTGTGAGTTGAGAAACCCAACTAGTGCCAAGATAAATTTGCTATGATTGAGTACAACTAAAGGTGCTCAAGGCATGTGAGTCAAGAAACCCGACCCACACCAAGTTATATCTATTATGGTGGAGTAGGGTCGAATGTGCTCAAGGTGTATCAATTAGGAAACTCGATCCATATCAAAATAAATCCACTACGATAAAGCAGGGCCAAATGTGCCTGAGACATGTGAGGTAGAAAACCTAACTAAGCCAAGAGAAGTCTGCTACGGTGGTAGAGCAGGGCCGAATGTATCTAAAGCGTGTGAGTTAGGAAACTCAACCCGAGCCAAGATAAATCTGCTATGGGGACGGAGTAGGATCGAATGTGCTCGAGGTGTGTGAGTTGGGAAACCTGACCCGCACCAAGATAAATTTGTTACAATAGAGTAAAGTCAAATGTGCCCGAGGCATGTGAGTCGGGAAACTCGACTTGCGCCAAGATAAACTCGCTATGGCGAAGGCGTAGGACCGAATATGCCTGAGATGTCCGAGTTAGAAAACCCAACTTACACCCAGATAAATCCGCTTTGACGAAATGTGCTTGAGGCTAGATATAAAACGTCAAAGGGGAACATTGGGGCAGTTGCAAATTGTCCTCTCTGTAGACGAGGTATAAAAGCTAACCCCCGACGCTATGTCGAGACTCTCTTTTTGAGAAAAACCCTTACTCTAAAAAGGGTCTCGAACTAACTTGAATGACAATGAGATCGAATAAAAAACTTTCTCCTTACATCGGTCTTAATGTAAGTAATGCCTCAAAAGCTCTCGACCCCCCCCCCACCTCAAAGCCACTCCATAACTACTTCGGAGCCACTTTGGACATTAGAGTCTTTTCGAGTTTGGACAACATCATATGGACTCAGACGTCAATGATAATTTTATTTAATAAATAATAAATTATTTAAATGGAATACCAATCCACAGTCCAGTATTTTTTACACGTCTGCAGCTGCAGCAGCGGCAATAGGCCACCTAAGATTAAATAAACATTAGCAGTGCAAACTGAAACATAATTTCAAAGACAAGGTTTCCATGCAGGAAAGTCAGCAATAAGATATTTTGAAACATAATAAATACCAGGAATTATAATGAAATAACAAGGGCATATAATCCCGGACAAATGTACAAACAGCGCTTACGATGGTTCGACCAACCTTGCTATTGTTTTTCCTCACAGGCACCGGGGGCACTTGAGGTAGTCACTCGGACTACCACCTCATTCATGAGTCAAGGGATAAAAACATGCCTTCGGTTTATGGATTTCCATGGAGTAATACAAAAGAACGG